CTATGTTATTTTTTTTTTTAAAAAAAACGTTACATAACCTTATATATTTAGCATTTTTCCCAAAAAGCTTACACTAAAGCGAACTGTTGAAATAGTACGTTTTTGTTTACGCTATTTTGCATTCTTTCACGCTATTATGCTCTGTATTTCTGCAATGATATTTAAACAATAAAATATTCAAAAAAAAACTAGTTATTTTAGGGATTAGAGTTATTTTTTTTTTAAATGACAACTACAAACTAAATTTTTTAGTATGGTTCAAATTAAAAGTTTAAAAATGCAAAGTCCTAAATTGAATAGTACAATATATATCGGTCCAGGTCTATTTTATCATTATATTTTTTGGTATTTGACATTTAAAGTTAAAAATTAAGAGTTCTGATCTAATGGTTAAATTAAATTGTTATTAAGCTAAAAAATTAATTACAATGTATATGCTTAAAATTATATTATGATTTATCTTATTATATTTTCGTTGTTTAGTTTATTTTATAGTATATTTTCCTTATTATTTACATATTTATAATATGATATTTACATTAAACATTTGTAGAAATAATTCTTAGATTTTATTTTGAATTCATTCAAATATTATGATAATTTTTAAAATCAACCATCTACTTTTATTATATGTAAGTATATATATAATATTTCTATAAAAATAATATTTTATATTCATATAATTTACGCAACACGCAACGCTATTCACGCTACGCAGTATAAAGACCAAAACACGACGTATTACGCTTCGCGCCTTTTAAAACACTGGTAAATACATACATATGCAATGGGAAATGGGTCGAATATGATATCAAGGGCCATTTCTTTTGATTGGTAACTAGAACTTAATTTGATTTGGATGGCTAGGGTCGCTTGTTTACAAAATAATTCGTTCAATATGAGTTATTTTGGTTAACCAGAGTTAATTTAAAAAAAAAATTGGAATGAATAGTTGTTGGTGAGATTTTAAGGATGTATTGAAATAATATTTAAAATAAAACGATTAAAATTGATTTGATATAAAAGTAAGAGATAAATGATTGAAAATAATCTAAAATGATAGTTAAATTATATTAGTGGATGAATAATAAATCAAAATTGATGTGATTTGTAAGAATGATTGGTTCGTATTATTTAATTATATGAATAATATTAAAGATAGTATGATTGAGTTAAAGTTGAGTTAGATTTTGAATATGAATTATGAATTAAATTTAAGTGAAATAATTATATAAACAAGCATGTCCCAAGCCCTCCTTTATCACATTATCCATTTTTCTCATGAACGTGATTTTATGTCATTTTACTTGTTTGTACAAAAATTCATTCATTTTTTCGAACTACTTTTAAATTATTCTGTTATTATTCATTTTAAATCGATTTTTGAACTATGGATATGTACTACTTTTAGAAAATGAATACATCGTAAATGACTATTTTTTTATAAAACCAAACCATTATTTTTCTGCAAAATGGGTTCTTAGTAATTGGTTTAAGCAACGACCTAAGTACTTACGCTGGACCTAAATACTTAGGGGGCGATTGTATATGAAGTCAACAGTAAAAAACTATCAAAATTTAAATTTAATTCAACTTTAACACAATTTCACTATCTTCATTATTATCAATATTATTAAATAATATCAACCAATCATTCTTATTGTTTGTAGTATTTTTGGGCAATTGGTAATCGAGTTACCCGACCTCGGGTCGTTCTCAAAGCAAGGCTCTTCAGAGCTTCGTTCACTACCTAGTCGTCAAAATCACACAATCGAAAAGGGCTTAAACATTCTACTCGCAATTTGAGGAATTGAATTTAAACTAGATTAATCTACGAAATGAGAGCAATTGAAAGCAAATAACTAAGCACGCAAGAAGATGAGAGAAATCAAGGGGGAAAGAGATATTTTGGTTTGTCGGAGTCTCCATGATCAAACACACGCAAATAACCGAACATTGCCATGCTAGTTAAAACCCTAGGAAGCTAAATCAAACTCTAGCACAAGACGAGCAAGCATTTAACTCCTAATCACACTTAGTCAAGCATTCACGATCTAAAGATTCATCTTTTCCTCCAAGCAACACAAGCACAATATCAATTTTCACAAAAACAAACAAAGATATACGAAGTAATGAGGCTTAAGACTAAGTACCCACTCTTACACGCACTTGGAAGGAGAAACAGAGTCAAAAGCTCGAAACTTTACTCGAAACAATGTCGCCGGAAATTCACCGGAAAACTTGATTCATATGCTCCAAACCAAAATAAAAAAAAGGAAAAAAATAGAGAGGATTTTCTCAACTTAAAAGTTGGGAAATGAGAGTTGTTCCCAAAAATACGAAGCATAATGTCTTTATATAGCTACACCACAATAACACACTAAAAACACGCACATTAAGTAAAACACTCTCGACGTCTCCGTGAAATTCGCGAGCTCGCGAGTCGGCAAGGCGCTGGGCGTGCATGGGCGCGCACTCTCGACCTCGCGGGGCTGTCCGCGAGCGCGCGGGGCAGCACGGGCATGCGGGCGTGCG